TGTTGTTGTAACGTTCTTACCCGCCCCTCCTGGACATCTGTGAAAAAGAGCTGCATAGCTCATCGGATTTCTCCACTATGAATACATACTCTGATTCTTTCCAGCGTGCGTTTTGTCCTCGTGCTTGTCTAATGAGCGGTTGATGATGTCACGTTACGAGATACCACAGCGCGACCCCTGCCACGGTGGCTGGGATGGTCAGCAGACTGGGGGCTTGCAATGAATGCGCGCACACACACAGGGTCGCCGATTCTATCTCCCGCGCCCACGTCTCTCCAGCCAGCGGTACACCAAAAAAATGGTTCAGTCACAGTCATAGTGTGGTTACTCCCACCTCTTCCAAGACGTCTCTGGTCCAACGTCTTGGAAGAGGTCGGCTAAATATCTTCCCTGGAAGGTCTGTCTTAGAAGCTACCTCTCTGCGTGTTGGAGGCCCTTCTGCCAGCAGTGACTTGATCGAGACGTTGCAGGGCTGAAGCTCTGTTGCCTTATCTTGAGATCGCATATTTGTGGCCTGCATCGCTGTCGGCAAACAGGGACAAGTGGACATCACGAGAAGAGAAGAAGACACCCCGCTAATAATCAATGGTGCTCTGTTTGCACAGCGAGTGGCAAGCTGACACCAGGGCTGCTATAAAGCGTCTCGGCAGTGTATGAGCGCTCTCGTGTTGAGGTAGCAACAACGAATGGTGGAGCGGAAGTGTAGTGATTAGCACGGTGCCCTACGAACCTGAGTTCGATTCCCACTTTAAGGCCCACACCGGTGATGATTGCCTGAACCGGTCCTGGACCTTACCTGGATCGACTCAGCCTAAAATGAGTACCTGGTGCGGTGTGTAAACATCGTCACTTGGGAGACAAAGGCGGCCGGGAGTGGTGCTGGCCACCCACCCCCTCGTGTGCTGTGCCGGCCTTCATAGGCAATCGCTAAGATCACTTGCCCCAAAAGTGTGTTGAGGCTTTACTAGGAATCTTTGTCTTTGTATTGGTACTGCAGTGAGAAGTGGTGATGGTGATGCGGTAAGTAGTGCTCTGTGCTACAAACCCGGACACCTCCGTTTAATTCCCAGCCGCTGTTAACATCAGTGACAAAGTGATATTGAGTGTAGCGGTTAGCGCGCTGCGCTACGAATCTGCCCACCCAAGTTCGATTCCCGCTCAAGGCTTTATGGGGGATCTTTGCCTTGTATGTGTGTTGAACTTCTTTCGCACTGTACGTAGCTAACCATGCTAATCGGCGATGCGGGGGAAGGACAACAAACTAAACACAAAAGCAGTTCTAAAGAGATGAGTTTTCAATCTAAACTATTTAAAAGTGCATAGCTCCAGTGGCTTCCGGATATCGGAAGGAAGAGAGCGTTCCAGACGGCCGCGGAAGCGCATCTGAAAGCGCGCGATGCGGTGACCACCACCGTCCTTGTTCGACGGCTCGCAGCCAAAAGCCGCTTCTGCGAGCACGAGCGGAATTCGCGTAGCGGTGGTTTACGCTCGCGTGTTCAGAAGAAGCGACTGGCAGGACTATTCTGGCTTTTTTCTCCCTTCTGCTCTAAGTTAAGATTACACCGACAACAAAAAAACACAAAGAACTGCTTTGGATTTGTTTTTATCTCAGTTTGTTTTTAGCTAAGCATCTCTTTATCTCCAAGTCAGGGGTGTCTTTAATTCTTAGACAAGGCTCACTTGCTTAGCCCATTGACCTCATTTACAGAGAGGGAGAGGGAGGTAGGTAGGGTACGGAAACTGCAAAAAAAACACACGCGCTGGCTCATATCTGAGCGGTAGCCAATGAGAAGAAGGCTCCCTTGAGTGTGGACTCTCTTTAGACGCCGCAGTAGGCACATGCACCCCCACCCCCATGCTCGCGAAGCGTCCGATCGTCGACCGCCCGCTGGGGGTGTATTAGAAGACGCGCGTCTCTTGCTGCTGCTGCTGCTGGTCTCGCGGGGCTTCGATAAGAGGCGGCCTCTGACGTCGGGCGTTCGTGGACAAAAGGGAGGCTTCTTTCCGCTACCTGTCGATAACCGTCGGCCCGCAGGTAAATATAGAAGGAGCTGCGTACACCCGCACCTGTGCCGCGCCTGATCTGCCCAGTTGCCGCCCGCCCGCCCGCCGATTTGCGCCGCTTTCGAGATGGTATTTTGTCCGCTCTCGAGATGGTATTTTGTCTCTTGCTGTTGCGTTGCGCTCGCGTGGTCGATCGCCACGATGTCCCGATTGTGTCGCTCACAACGCGCTGTGAGCATCGACTGAGAGCCAGCTCCCCCCCCCCCCCTGCCGCGTTCTCCCGCCGCGTTCTCTGTCATCCGCAGGGGTGGCGAGTGTTATTCTCAAGTCGGACGTTGCTTACCCAGTCTCGCGCCCAAATCGATAGCAACAAATATTTTACCAGGGCTCACTGAGTTATATAGCTTTTTTTCAGAAGCGACTTGGCCACAAATGATAGCTCAACAAAGTTGCTTATCATGTGGAAATTTATAGCAGCCAGTTGTTCTAAATGTGGAGGCAAAAACCGGAGGACCCGGAGAAAAATCCACATGACCACGGGGAGAACACGCAAACTCCAAATACAGCAGGTGTCAGGGTCGGGATCGAACCCACGACCATCCTGTATACCAGTTGAGATTCGCGGTCGTGTCCTGCATTTCGATGCCATATACACATTCGAACCGCGACTCGAACGGGATTGCATTTTGTTCTTCACGGCCAGTAGCGAGGCTTTGGCGTTTGAATGCGGGCGCGCATGTGGAAGATGATGGCAAGAGAGGGTAAAACAACTCGGAGGCTCTTTGCAGAGCGTGGCAGGGCAGCGTTCTGGATGCAATCGGCAAAAAGACGAGCTTGCGATTGGTGGAGGCAGTTTCACCGGGACGGACATTGGGGTGGCAACGCAACACTGGAAGTCCTATGGACAGATTGTCACCCACCACTGGACGTTGAAATTTCCACCACTAGCTCAAGACTTCAAGTGGAAAATAATCACGGTGCAATGTTCGTTTGAATCGGGGGGAATCGTTGCGGGGGGGGGGTCTCAGAGATGGGTTGGTGACAAAATCACCCTGAGTGCATCCGATCTCACCAGACGTTTCGAACACAAGCGATCGAAACGTCGTTTTTTGTTGTTATTTTTGTTATTTTCTTTGAACCCATCTTCGTGACTTTACCGAAAGACCCAAGAATATAGTAGTTTATAGTACTCATCCACCCACCCACTCACTCACACACCTACCGACCTACCTCTCTAGCTGCCTATGCGCCCGATCGTCAGCCTCTCCGCTGACCTAAACACAAGCGCGGCCCGCGATGCGCTGAAGCGGAAAGCGCCGCTTCACTCGACGGGGAGAGCCGTTTCTGTGCAGGTGCGCGTGGCCCGCGACTGTGAGATTGTGAAATCGCGAAGCCACGGCGCCTCGCAGCGCCAGGTGGGCTTGTTTGCACACGTGCTCGAGTCGCACGTCCGGGGTCGTAAAGGAGACTTTGCTGTATAATTCCCCTCCCGCCCGCCCCCACGGCTGCCGCTGCCGCTACCTGATTTGCAAAGAGGGCGGCCACGTCGACGTTGTTTTTTGAGTGGCGATGATGGTGGTGGGGATGGTGGTGGTGATGTATGGCCAATAAAGAGAAACTGCTAAGCGATTTAGCCTTTCGATTGTATTGTCTTAAGATATGCCCACTCACTCACCGGCACATTCACTAACCCACTTACTCGCCCACCCATCCACGCACCCATTAACTCACCCACTAATCCACCAATTCATCCACCCACCCAATCGCTCACCTACTCACACATTCACTCATTTACTCACCCAGTCACTCACCCACTCACGCACACACAAACGTACTCACCCACTCACTCACCCACCACATTCACGTGCATATAGGAGAGAGTAATTTCCAAAAGTGCATCAGGTGTCTGCATCGTCCGTGGTTTGTGCCGATACGGAAAAGCGCCGTCCATTGTTTTTGAGTTATTTTTGGTTAAGATGCAGTGTGTCTGTGAGATGAGTTTGAGCAGAATGCGTAGTTTTATTGCGTGATTCTGGCACCTGCCTCCCTGTTTACATATCCACTGCCCAACATAAGTCCGCAACTGCCTGTCAACTGACCTGCCTGTTTTCCTGTCTCTCTGGCTGATCACTAAACCACTTACCTACATACCCATCTTCCAACACATTAACTTGCCTGCCCACCCACCTACCTATCTACCTACGTACTTACCTATACAACCTCCTACCCACCCGTATACCTTCCTGCTTGCCTGCCTACCAGCTTGCCTGTTTTCCTCTATCCTCGTACGAACGGTGCGAAAGAAGTTCAACATGCATACATATCTACCTATCTGGTTACCTATTCACTTACCAACCCACCCGCACACCTACTACTGGTCCTGACACTTTAGTAACTCGTCCGTTTAACCTCACCGGCCTGACGGAGTTGGCGAGCGGCGTGTTTTGCGAGTATCTACCACGTGCTTGCCAATCTGCCGTCGCCACCGCTGCTGTTTGTGCCTGTATTGTGCGTTCGGCCCCGCGGGGTGAAATCTTTACGCGGCGGTAGCGTGCACACGACGACGCCGTGAGTCACACGCTGCATGCCTCGGCATTCACAATTGTTCTGGGCGGGACAATATCATCATCATCATTACCAACCATCACCGTCGCCTTTTTCATCATAATCGCCGCCGTCACCATCAATAACAACGACAGTAATAATACAGTTGCAAGGGGTCAGGTGGAGTCCAGCAACCTCGCACATCACCGCTGGCGACAATGCCTCTTCCACGAGAAGGGAGCTCCAGAGAACTCCCTCTCGAGGCTGTTTTGGCCTACTCTTCCACACCTGGCCAGACGTCTCGGAAGACGTGGGAGTCACCCACACACTCCGCCCCAATCAGACCGCAGGTGACCTGCCAGTCGATCGACCCCGTCGCAACCGTGAATACCGCTGGCTGGACAGAGGCGGTTGGCGTTCGTTTGAACTTTCAACTGTCGCGCCACGAGGTCGAATCTCCACCGCCGATTAGCGCGGCTGGCTATATGTACGGCGCGAAAGAAATTCAACACGCATACGTACTTACAACCGGGCGACCTGTGCCATCGCAAGTCCGCGGCGCTACCCCATGACACCAGGCGCAACAACAACAACAACGCGGGAAACACGGTAAACAACAACAACGACGCGGTAAGCACGCTTTACCGCCACCCAGCCCTCCCGTCCACCGTGAGAGTCGCACAACCTGTGATGCGTCTGGGCTCGGCTGGCGCAGACAAGAGCCCAGCACCGCCGAGTTGGTGTCGGCCAAAGGTCAAGACCGCACGTGCGGCCTTTAGAATAAACCCCTGCACTGTGCCGTGCATACAAAACATTTTATTGTACAATTATTTGCTGGCACGGTGCATTGTGGGAAGGTTTGATCAAGCGTGTCGTCAAGCAGGGGCGCCATGGTGGCGAGATGTTAACTATGTCGCCTGGTATACAGGAAATCGTGGGTTCGATCCCGACCTTGACGCCTGTATATTTTTAGTTTGCATCTTCTCCCCGTGGTCACGTGGATTTTTCTCCAGGTCCTCCAGTTTTTCTCTGCACATTTGGAAACATGCGGTTAGAGTATTTGGCTACTATACATCTCCACGTGATAAACCACTTTGTTGAGCTATCATTTGTAGCCTGGTCGCTTCTGACAAAGAGTGAAATAGCTCAATGGGCCTTACCTGGTAAAATAAAAAAAAGTTAAATAGTTAAGTCACAACCATCACCTGCAAGTGCATTCCTGGGCCCAATGACCACATCAATATACAAAAAAAATACTAACAGCTACTAACAGTTAACTTATCAAATACCAGTTTTTTCATGCCATTCTTGCCAGGTCCCATGGTGTAAAGTGCAGTCACCAGCCTTTATTGTCAACTCTATCTGTTTGGCATGAAGGAGGTCCATTGTCCTAAACGTCGTCTGTTTATATATTTTTTTCCTGTTAACGGTCACAGGGTTCTTATATATGTGCTTATGCATCACTGCCAACGCAGTGTCACCAAATTATGTTATGCCGACCTGTCACTTGCTTATAACTGCACTTGCAATTAGATTTGATATCATATATCCTTCTCTGTTTACATATAACTACTACAAGTATAGTCATCCTACGTCTGTTTAATGTTTCTCTAGCTTAAATATTGTCTCTGTACGTTGTGATCAGTCTAAAACAACATGCTGATGGAATGGAAATATTTAACTTTCATTTATTTGTGTGTCATAGTTTATATTCATCGCTGATATCAGAGCGGTGAGCAATATCGGGGGCCGGTCCTGGGCCTCCTCTAGGTTCACTCAGCCATAACCAAGTACCTGGTGAGGCACGTACATCAGCAATGGGAAGACGAAGGCAGAACTGGTGGAATACTGCTCACACCGCCTCCTCGTGTGCGATTCCAGACTATAATAGGCGCTCACTAACCGTACTTGCCACCTCTAGCATTCTGTGTAACCAGGGGGAAGGTGGGGGGTGGTCCTTGTGTTTTATGTGCACGTGCACACGTGCATGTGCGGACATGCTTCATCAATGTGCCCGCAGGGTGAGCATGGCACCCTACCGTAGCAATGCCATGGCAAGAGTGTGTTCATGCATGTGTGTGTGTACAGCCGTCGGTTTTACTCTCTCTGTGATGCAAGATTGGAGGACCTTCGGTTCGTGTGGAATTCTGGTCAGTCACTGAGGCCTTCTGAGGCCGCAGCGTCCACCTCCCACGGTTGCCAGTCTCGTAGGCGCGAGTCCATGCGGTGGCGATCGTGGATCTGAGTGTCCCGCTTGAGCTGAGACAGCCACGTGGGGGCCACGTGGGCGTCCGCGTGGTCTTCTCCTTCCTGGTGGAATTTACTACTTTAATGAGCCAAGAATCTTCTTGGTTCTTTCGGTAAAGTCACGTAGAATGGAAATAATAAAATAATGAAAACAAAACATAATAAAATAATTCTCACGACGTTTCGGCCACAATGCAAGCAGCCGTCCCTATGTGGAGAACAGGTCTAACCTAAAGAACCAATAAGATGAATCCCTGCAGTTACGAAAGCTTTAAATCGAAATTGAGCCAATAATGTCTGCGTGTCCCGCGCGTGACGTCACTCCACGTCGGCCAGCCCCCCTCATTAATAATCATGAAACATGTGACGTCACTCCACATGAGGCACCCCCCCCCTCCTTCATTAATAATCATGAACAGGTGACGTCACTCCACATGCCGCACCCCCCCCCCCCCAATAATCATCAGGGGTGACCTCACTCCACATGAGGCACCCCCCTCCTCCTTCATTAATAATCATGAGCTGAACAATTTCTCTGTTGAATATTTCAGATTTACTGCAATATACACCCGTCCTTGAACGGACAAACAAGCTAGTAATATACAAAAATAATACTTTTTGTAAATCTTGACTTAACGCTTTCGTGACTGCAGGAATTGATATTCTATAGGTTTGAACCTATCTACGTGACTTTACCGAAAGACCCAAAGAACATAATACTTTTAGTACTTGTAACGCGGTGCCGTCGCACGGCATTCGCTGAGGGGGCTGGCCGACGTGAAGCGACCCAGAGGTGCGAGGAGGAACCACAGACGAGTGGGGAAGGCAGCAGCCACGCGCTGAGCTAGCATGAATTCCCCCCTGTCACCCCAAGCTCTGCGTTTATTTACGTGCAAAGTTGTTCCTCACCCCCAATAAGCATGGTTGGCTACGTACGGTGCAAAATGAGTCCAACGTACATACATTGGCCAATTACATTGGGAGGAAACCGCACCCGGAGAAAACCTACGCGTGCGAGGAGGCAACACTCTATCCTTTACAGACGGAACAGGAAGAGTCCACATCGTTGTTCCATCTTCTCCTGGCAAGCCAGGGCATGGCACCTGCTTTACAACCCATGGTCCACGACGCTGCAGAGTCCTCGTGCCGATGTGAACAACGCCAGTCAGGCCTAGCAACCCCAGCGACAGATTCCTGGTAGCTCGCTGCTCAAACAAGCAAATGGGGCCAGCACTGATTGTTTGGAGACTGCGGTAGAAATTCCACTTTGCCATGACAAGAGATATTTATTATCTAGAAGATTACCGCGATAATCCATGCCTAAACTCTCTTTCGTGGAATTGGTGGAATATCTCAATGCAAGCCCGATCCTCCTGAGAAAATATTCTTGAGACCCTGTGAGGCTTTGCTGGGTAAATAAACGGCATCTTAAATACATAGCATTGCTGTGCAGAATATACACATACGAAATCTCACATGACCTCAGTTAGGTGAGGCAAGTTCAATCAAACATTTATCAATTCCCAAAATAGCATTGAGCGGCAGTGCTCATCTTTGTAGACTTTCCAGAGCCAGTGGTGGAAATTCCACATTCCTATGGCGAATCCTAGTGGGGCGGAAAAAATAATACGAATGACAAAAAATTCGGGGTGCACAAATGTTCACGAGACGTCGTTCATTGTGGCTCCATTTGGAATTAGATCTCGCTATCTGCGTGCAGCGGTATCTATTCCAAAGTTAGTGTTTTCCTTTAACTAAATTGCAGCTGGAAGGGCGATTCCACCTGGTGCCCACTGCCCCCCCCCCCCTCCACTCCCCCTCCAATGCCCCCCCTCCACCCCTTCCACCAAGGCCAAACTTTCTGGGCAACCTCCTTCTCAATCCCCCGGCGGGGAGCGAGCGGGCCCCTCGGCGCTCCCGCGTTGCTCAAGGCCGCCGGTCACACGTGCCCCGCTCGTATGTCACGGCCAGCCCCGCGCACGATGAAGCATCGTTTGCCGCGCGGCATTGTCGGCAGCCGCGTCCCCTTATTGGCACCGCCTTCAAATCCGCCACGCAAAGGTCAAATTAATTTTGTACGCGTCATGGCCACGCTCCGCACCGTGGCGCACGGCACAAATTCTGCTGAAGTTGAGATTTTCAAAATTTTCGGTCCGTCAGCAATTTTAATTATTCACTCTGCTCCCACTCCCCCACCACGTCGCTCACCAATTACCTCCGCGTTTATTTTATTATTCAATTAAGGCGGCAAGGTTGTTTGGTTAAGGCCATGGGCTACAGCCAAGCAGAGAGTGCGGCGCAATTTCGCCGTAACGGATCCGCGAATCATTGCTGGGGGTGGAAGGCGCTGCCGAAACCGTGCCAATTAAGACGGCGACGGCACCGCCGTCACCGAGAATTCTGGCACCGAGCAGCCGCGCATTTGATTATCGTGCTGCAGGCAAGCAGCAGCAGCGGTGGCAGCAGCTGGCGGCAGCAGCAGCAGCAGCAGCCCTCGCCCGGTATCTAGCGGGCCGAACGTCTCCCACAGCCCATTACGGGAGCCTCCGTCTCACCGTAATGCCGTGGAATGAAGTCCCCGAGGTGCCGCCTGCCGTCTGCCTGTCCGACACACGCACGCCACCGCCGTGCCGTCACGCCCTGCGAAATCCATTCCTCCGGCTCGTCGTCCTATTATTATCGGGTGTGGGGGGGAGGAGAAGCGGAGGGTGCGGGTTTGGTGGAGGAAGAGAGACGGCTTTAATTGGTGCTTTTGTCGTCAGATTGTCGCATCTTCGCCAGGGCGCAGCGCGTGTTAAGGGGGCGGCTGTCTCGCGGATTAAATGAGGGATTTTCCGGGTCGCTCGTGTGGACGCCGATATTTTTGCTCGCGAGGTGAAGGCCGTGCGCTGAAAAGTAACGACGGACATGGGGCAAATGGTGGGCGGACGTTTGGTTGGGTGATAACGGATTCGCGGGCGGTGGGATTATCCTGAAGCCAAAATCGAACGCATTTCTCCAATAATTCTACCAATGTAGAACCTTTGACGAATACGATTTTTTTTATAAATATAATAATCATGCCTTTTTGTCATCCAAAAATGCCTCGCTGAGTCTTTTTCTCTCGGAGGGCTCTGCATTGGAACATTTGGCCAATTCCATTAACGAGCGTTTTGCTACACGAGTGAGGAAATCAGAGAAGCAAAAAAACTCCAGCGACCCATCCTCGTCGCGGCGACCGCACGGTTTGGTAGCAATACAAGCGACACTGCTGCCCCCCCCCGCCACTCTGGTGGCACGGCTTCCACGCTGGACTCGCAATCCAGAGGTCGAATTCGGTTCGACTCCATCTCCCGGTGCGACGGTTGAGATAATTAGGCAGGTTTCTCTGAGCGCTCGCCGTG